AGGGACTATTTGTGATGTCCAGTAATATCTGAATTTTATTTCTAACCTCTAAAGTCAAAGAATACCTTCCAAGATTAAAGGGGCAGGGACTAGACATTATTTAATTGGCATAAGGAATATTTGGATGTAGAAACTCCTTTATTAATGCAGGGTGATATCTTCTATGCCACTTACAATTTTAGAGAGTGGCCTAGAACACTGTGATGTTAAGAGACTTGCCCAGCGTCAAGTAGCCAGCATGTTTCAGATGAGGTACTTGAACGCTGACCTTCCTAGCTCTGAGGCTAGTTCTCTATTTACTATCCAATGATACCTACTACCATTCATACTATTCAAAAACTTTCTAATTTTAACTTTTATCCTTGTCAATTTGAAAAACAAAATAATTTGCTTCATTTACTGGTGTCCATGCTAGGTTGTGTTAGAGATGAGATCATATTGATTCCACAAGCCAAACTAACAAACAAACAAAAAAATCAGCATGTTATAATCAAACCTGGTATCTTTGCATAGCTCACCCACAGGTCACAATTGCATTCAGGATTAATGTATTCTACGTATCAAATATTGAGACCTGAACTGGGAATCCAAATATTTATTAATGCTTCTGGGAGTCCTGGAGTTTATTCATTTCTTGAAAGATTTTTCTCTAGTTCTGTCATGCATGAAGGGTGAATATAAGTACAGCCTAAGAGAAATCAATGCTTCTAAAGTTGCTATGTATTTTATAGCTGAAATACTACATAAGAAATCAGAAATAAACCTGTTTTTCTACTGCTTTATTTAAATTGAAGACAAATTCAATTGTCACCATAAACATTTCCATAAAATGAATATTGAAATGAAATTTTGCAGAGTCAAATGCAATTTTGAAAAGGTTGGTACTGCAATGTGCAGTTTAACAACACTATTAATATCACTAATAGATGTTGTCTGAAATAATACGTAGCTTTTCTTCACTTAGGGAAAGGGATTTCAAAAGGACCAGGAGGTCATTCTCCAGGTGACAATACAGTTTTTCCTCCTTTCATTAGACTTAAGATTTAAATTCTGTTATTCTTCTAAAGAATCTATACTTGTATCTGTAAGTTTCAGATTTAGGGAAGATAAGCTACATATAGCCTTTCCTTATGGCACAGAACTATGGATATAGATGAAGTTACAATACAATCAATCAATCAATCAATTATTAAACATCTACTATGTGCCATTCATTGTGCTATTTTTCAGAAACACAAAGACAAAAATTAAGGTCTCTGACTTGATGGAGCTTACATTCTAACAAGATAGACAACATGGACACATATACCAGAAACATACAAAGCAGATAGAACGTTATACATCAATGGATGTGAAATGATGGTGACACTTATTAGGAAAGATTTCTGTCCTATTATTAACAAGTCCTTAGGCAGTGAAACCCTCCACTATGGTCCCTTTCCTATTGGCTAAAATGAAAATTAGTAATAGTATAATTCTTTATATGTAATAATAAACCTTACATTTGGATATGGCTTTATTCACTTCATCCATTCTATATATGTGTGTATTTGTGTGTCTGTGTTTATGTGTGTGGGTTTAGTTACTTATTCTGAGCTCATGTCAAAAGGTAAAAAAGTTCTATTAGACAAATTGGTTTTTAAAAAAAGGAAAGGGGAAAAATTGTTTGCAGAAAGGGATCAGCTTACAATTCTATTAATAACAGTGCAGTTTGGGTCCCAAAGCTCACTGGTATGGGACTCTCTTCTTATTGGTGGAGATCAATGCCTTGTACATGCACAAGAAGCAATGAATCAAGGGAGAAAAACAAACGAACAAACAAAAAAACAGTCCTATACTGATAGTGCCAATGAGAAGGAAAAAAAGTTGTTAGTGTCATTATGCATGTAAATTAGAAAAGTAATTCTTGTTCTATCTCACACATGAAACATTGTCCTTTCATGTTTTGGAATTTAGAGTAGTTTCTTTAACCTCTGTCTGACTAGATCCTAAAAAAACTACTTAAATCAGAAAAAAAATAAATCAAATCATTTGTTCACCTGTGTTAGAAGGTCATCTCATTAAGATTATAAAGGAAATTTCCTAAAAAAGTTCAACCTCAGAGAGACTGACAATGAATTTTGGAAATTTAAATGATGGCCATGGCTTTCCCTCTGATACAACTGCATCTGGGGATTGAGGCATTTAGTGCAAAATTTAAAGAAATTTATGACTTCAGAGGAATAAAGTCAGGTTTTAAATTGACCTCTGTTACAATAATTCTCAATCTACATTCTTTTTGCTGGTATTAAGAGTATGGAAATCTAATTCTCAAAACAAAATAGCAAGATGAAAGTATTGTAACTTGTAGTAGTATTGAGCATAATATCTTTGCAGGAAAATATTTTAATATATTCATAACTCCATAACATTTTTTCATACCAAGGGAAAAATTGTCAATCTGCCCAGCCTTGAAGATTCCTTCTGTGCTTTGCTTATCAACAGGAAAATACAGACCCACTCTTGGGGAAACATAAGCTTGCACTGAAAGAAAACCCACCTTCATTCCCCTTCCCAAATCCTGGTTGCCCAGAATCCATCTCAGAACTCTGAGAGATAAGAGGATTGATTCTCATCCTCTCCCCCAACCCAGAACCATCTAGAACTTATCCAGGCTCTTTGACTACTCATATGGTGTGCATAAGATGGAAGTCACCAATACCATTACTTTTTTTCTGGAAAGGCTGAGGACCATTCATCCTTACTTTGTCTCTTGTACTCTTAAAATCTTCTAGGCTTTACTCTCTTTCCTACTTTGATGCCCTCTAGATAGCTATAACTGTCTTCTGACTGATTAAAGTAATCTAAACGGGTAAGCTAGGCCATCAAATTTATCTTGCAGCTCTCCAAGGTGATGAGCTCCTTGAAGGAGGTACTGTTTTGATTTTTCTATGTTTTCTCAAAGCTTAGCAGAGTGCTTAGCATATGATACATTTTTAATGTTGCCTTTGCATTCATTAATTCAAGAAACAGAATGGAGCAACCTGAGCATAGAAGTGACTATCTGAGGGTGGATAAAAAGACATTTTTGACAAAATGGTCGCTATAATTTTGTGCTAAAGATGACAATTTTAGCTATTAGCACATAGTTTAAGCAAAGTATCATGGGCAATGCTCTTCAAGGGTAGCCTCTTGAAATGGCAGCAGTTAACATGTTTTCAAGTCATTGAACTTTCTTGGTTATTTATAGGATGTTTAAAAGTTAGTTTTTATTCCTAATATCCTTATGACAAAACAATATTCCATATGTACAATTGTTCTGGGAAAATGATTTAATATTTGAAAACTTAAATATATGCATGGATTTCACAAAAAAACATATGCACACACACATACACACACACAAAATACACACACCCCTATCAACCTAGCAATCTAGAGACAAAAAATTATCCGCAGAAGGGGAGCTTCAATAGAAATCCCAAATAAACATATTTGGAAGCTTCATGTAGAAACTGTCGCTCCTAAATTTGATTTCTCTTTGGAAAGGCCTAATCTTTGAAATTAGAAATTTAGAACTGTTATTGACTAGCCTGTATAGAGTGTATAGATAGGAATTTTCATTCATAATTAGGAGGCAACAAATAAGAGTCTCAGGACAAAACACAAGGAGAAGCATGATATATTAGATGGAAAACTTTGCCTTGTATTGAAGAATACCCAAGTTCAAGTCTTACTTTTCACACATGTAGTACTGGTTATGTAGTCCTGGAAAAGTTGTTTAAATTGTTGGTGTCTGAGGTAATTATGTAAAACTAGAAATCATATAATAGTTGCTGATCTCCAGGATTTTCCTCACCAGGATTTCCCTATACTAAGGAAATCACAGATCTAGATTCTCCCTCAAAAGGCCACAATCTATATCTTGAATTTTACTTAAACAGCAATGAATCCCTCATGTGAATGTGATCCTATAAATATTGAGTTATGAGGATTATTTGTTTTTCTTGTTTTCAATAATTAATAGAAATCTCCTTGGTAACTACAGTTTCAAAGCTCTCATGGATATGGAATAAAGATCAATAAGCAATAAAAATCTAACTGCTATTCTCCAAACGCAGTGACTATACTTAAGGATGGGGCATAATTCTTCTTCCTTACTGTTCTTGACCTAAACTAATTTATACTTCAAAAAGCTTCTCCAATGAGATGAACTGCAGCATTCTTTTAAAAACTTCACTGACTGCATACATTGTCAGTTTTTCAAATGATAAACAATTAAGTAGTGGCTATTTTTTTTCCCCTACATACAGGAGCTCAGAGACGGGAAAGCAGTCCCATTATCACAGTACTAAGGTTCTACAATATACATGTATGTAGCAGGATTAGCATTGTGTTTCTTTGTTGTTTAGTCATTTTTCAGTCATGTCTGACTCTTCTTGACCCAATTTGGAGTTTTCTTGGCAAGGATACTGGAGTAGTTTGCCATTTCCTTCTCCAGCTCATTTTACAGATAAGAGAATTGAAGCAAACAGGGTGAAGTGACTTGCCCAAGGTCACACAGTGAGTAAGTGTCTGAGAACAGATTTCAACTCAGGAAGATGAGTCTTCCTGACTCCAGGCCTGGCATTCTATCCACAGTGCCACCTACCACCCAGTGTGTCTCTAGTACTGTTTAGATTCATGCTAGGACTCCAATATACAAATCAAAAGATGACAGAACTCATGACAATACATGAGTGTTCAAAAATGCAAATTCACTTTGAGGACTGGTCAGATGGATCTCTGCATGGTGCATCTCTACATTGCACTAGTTAAGGCCCTACAACTATCAGTGAAAACAACACATGGATGCTGCCACGTAATTAACCTATGCTTCAAAATAAATTTTAGTGGATCCAAGAGGAAAATAACATATTTTCAATTAGTTTAATGAATATTAACTTGGACATTCAATGAACCAATTCTGGAAAGAGGGTGAATAGATGTCAAGATGTCAAGAAACATCTTGAAAACACTACCTGAAGCCATTGTGACTGGTCATTGTGGCCTGAGGTCCAGGCGTTCACTTTTCCCTGTTTATCTAGCCGGGCTTTCCTGGGTTCCCAAGTGAACATATCCATGTTGAGAGTCCTGAAGATGCTGGAAGCAGTAATCTGATAGTCTTGTATATGTCCTGATTTCATTCCCAGAGGCTCAGAACAACCTGAATGAAAGTGAGAAGGCTCCATGAGAGAAATCATTTATAACTCTGAAAGTTTTCTGTGCTACATTTTGGATAGGCAAGAGAAGACTAAACATAATGACATGCATTTTGAAAATGGGGCAAATCAACATTCTTACAGAAAATCTTTAATCAAGAGAGCATCTGGGGTAAAATTGAAAAACAAGATAGCCAATTGATGCTATTTTATTCTAACATATTTTCAAAAAATTGAAAGCAAGATAGACAATTCAAAGTATTTTACTGATAGTTTTTTTTGCAAAATGATACAAAGTTAAAATTCTCTTTCCATTTTCATTACTCTTAGCCTCATGACTATTGCCTGCTTTTCAGCAGCCACCATTGTTTCCTTAACAACGAGATATTTTCTTAGAAAATAATTGTTTTTCGTTTACATAGTAGCAAAGTACTGCTCCTGTAAGTGCTAATAGTACAAAGTTATTCTGCCACAATCTCTACTGTTGCACTGAAAACGGCTGAAGTACTTAGTTGTGAGATACATTCTTACTCAATGAATATACTCTCATCTACTTCCTTATAATTTTTCTTTGCCTTCTAATTTCATATTATCTCAAATAGCTACTTATAGAACTCATCCTAGAAAAGTTGGATTTAAATGGAAGAGATAAGATAAAAGGCAGAGTAAAATGGTTAAAAATGATTTTTAATTAAAACTGTTAAGAGGCAAGCAATATCTGATCTCTTTTCTGACATTCTCATGATTGGAAATTATTATTTTTCTTTCATGTTCTTTTACATTGCTTCTTAAGAGTACCCCCCACATACATTTTTTGAGATTGGAATGTAGAAAAATGATGCAGAATTCTGCCATTAAATTCCTGAGGATTCAGTTGAGGAATATAACAAGTCACTAGCTCATGTTTAAATTAAGTGCAACTAGGAAAGGAATCTATTGTGATAAATTTGTTATTATGATCTAATAATGAAATATATATTTAGTTATATCCTTAATATCTTAAATCACTCTAATAACATTTCCACAAATAAAGGATGTTTCAGAAAAGGCTAGCTTGCTCATATACTAGTCAGTGATTATTTTTTTCTTATATTTAAAGTTGCTTCCTTTGGGCTAGGAAACATCCAAGCAGATACTGAATAGCAAGGTAGAGGTGGGGGGAAGTAGATGTCCACATTTCAGTCAATACAACCAAATTGCATAGGTGATCTTTCCTAACATTCAAACATACACCTTAAGTTTTTAGTCAAGTTAATAATAAGAAGTAGCAACATTTAGTAAATTCATGGCAGTAATTTTTGAAAAGGGTCAAATCAACAAGCATTTATTAAGTGTTTATTATGTGATAGATACTGTGCTAAGTTCTGATGATAAAAAAAATAAAAACTTAGTTCCTGCTTTCAAGGAGCCAAAAGGCATGTAACTTTATACATGTAAGATATATGTAGTATAAACAGAATGTAATCTCAGAGGGAAGGGACTAGTAGCAGAAAAAGCTGGCAAGGGCCTCCTATAGAAGATGGAATTTCAGCAGTCTTAAAGAAAGTCAAGGCAGCTAGGAGAGATGAGAACAGAGATCATCACAGGCATGGAAGCCATCCAGTAAAAATGCATGGCGTTATGATAGACTCTTGTATGTGAGGAACAGCAAATAGGCCAGTGGAGCTAGATCATAGAGTGTGTGGTTGTCAGTAGAGTGTAAGAAGACTTGAAATGCCAATATGAGCATTTTATATTGGATTCTGGAGATAATAGGAACCACTGCAATTTGTTGAGAAAGGGGTTGATATGGTCAGATCTGTGCTTTTGGAAAATCACCTTGGCAGTGGAATGTAAGATGAATTGAAGTGAAGAGTGATTCCATGCAGGAAGACCAATTAGAAAGCCCATGAATATATTCTCAGACACTAAAAACAAATAAGCTATCTACATTATAGTCTCAGTTGTCCATAGGATGAGAAAGAAGTTGAGGTGCAAGAGAGTTCCGATAAATAGAAAAGTTGAGCTGTTTTCCTCACATTTAAATAAACATAAATTTCTAGATTTTGGAAAATGAAAATACTATATTTTGAAGGGCTTTTCCTTTGTTGTTTCAACCCAACTATGGAATTCAGTTTTATGTATTACTTTTTTCTCTAACAATGGCAGCAATGACAACTATTACTATTCTAACCAATTAATATGTCTTAAGCTACTCTTCTACCCAAGAAGTAACACATCTCTTAATGACCAGGTGGAATACCTCCCTATTAGGAAGCCTAAAACTGTCTGACTAGATAGAAAGCTTGGAGAGTAGAGTTGATTGCATATAATCCTGTGATCTAAGTCATAGAGCTCTGTTTCACATTGTGCATGAAGAGTGTACTCTGATTTAAGGCAAATTGTTACAGTGAATGGAGGGAATAATAATTCTATAACACCCACTATAAGCCATGCATTGTGCTAAGTGCTTTACAAATATTAACTCATTTAATCTTTACAACAACCTTGCAAGGTATGTACTGTTATCCCCATTTTAGAGTTGAGGAAACTGAGGCAAGAAGAAGTTAAATGACTTTCCCATGGTAACATAGCTGGTAAGTTCCCAAGGGCAGGTTTAAACTCAGGTCTTCCTGACTACAAGCACAGCCCCCTATCCATGCATCACCTAGTTGCCTCATTGGTGAATTGAGTTCATTGAGCTTCCTCAATATGTCATTGTGACTCTCCTTACTAATTAGCCATCTGAGTCACATTATTTTGTATAGAGAAAGTAGCTAACCCTTTTACTCATGTAGATAGAATCTGAATAAAATTATGTTTAGCCCCCCCCCCCAAATATTATTTCTGTAGGAAGGACCTGTGATGATTTTAAGTATCTACAAAGAATTATATTATATAAGTACAAGTTCAAAATCAGTTTGTGTGTTTTGGGGATGTGGCCTGGCTTTTTAAAAATATAATAAAATGCTTAAAGTGTCTATGTGATTTATTGTCAAGCTCAAAAGTAAAATATATTTCTATGTTCAGAGTGTGGCTGTGTATTATATGTGGGCCTGACCCTCATGGGTTAACATATTGCAGAACTGATCAAAAAAGAAAATGAAAACTAGCAGCATAGGCAAAGATTAAGCTTCTGTGACAATCTTCATGGGACTAAGGTTTTTCCTCGACTGCCTTAGAGCAGATGAGAGGCTTGTTGATTCCACAGGCATGTCAGTGATATCTTCTTATGTAATGCACAGGACAAAAACTCTACCATAGCTATATGATCCTATATCGAGAGCTGGAAGGAACTTCAAAGGCCATCTAATTCAATCCCCTCATTTCACAGATGAAGAAACAGTTTCAAAGAGATAAAATGACTCATTTCACAGATGAGGAAACTGAGTCTCAAAGAGATAAAATGATAAAATTGCTACAACCAAAACACACAAATAGTATGCATGAGAGGTGGGATTTGAACAGAGGACCTCTAATTCCAGAGCTAATGCTCTTTGTATTTTACCATATTACTTCCTCAATTCTATGCTACTGATCATCAAGAGTCAATGATTTCAAATCAAAAAAATGAGGAGAAATATTACTGAAAGTTAATTAGTGATTCAAAATATTATGCTTGTTGCTTTATAAAAAATACTCTGAAAACAATGTTATTTTAAGATGTATTCATCAGGATCAATTGTTTGAGTTCCTTTCATTTAAACCTTCTCATTTTAAAAAGAATATCAAATTAATAACTTTCAATATTTTTTTTAATTCAGAAAAGATCCTTGTCCTTGCTTCAAGACTACATCCAAGAAAGGAAAGATGGAATGTGAAAGTGGCATTCAAAACCCAGAGACAATTTAAAAAAGACCAAGAATACAACATGGTCTTTCAACGTCCAAGACCATTTCTCTTTAGAACACACTGGACTTTCCCCCTATTATTTCAAGGTATCACTAAATTTTTTGAGGTGACACAGACCTAGCACTGAAGCTAAAAGTGTCAATTCACTCAGTGACTTTAGTGACTATCTCAGTTACTTGAACAAAACAACCCCCAGTTACTCAGGCAAAGACTTTTCCAGTCCAAGAAATCCACAAACCGCCCCAAATTCCCACATGCTAAAATGCCATGGCAGGATTTCCTATTTGTTTTCCAGTCTAGTGCTATATTGAGAAGAGACCACAGTGAGATTAATGCATTAACTTTTCATGTCTAAATCTAGTTTTGATGCCCCTGGGGGGACAAGAATTATTTAACTTGGAGTACTTTGATGGATCATTCCTGAACTTGACAACCACTGCTTTTACAATAAGCAGGGAGCTAGCCAAGAAGGATCCTAAAATGAATTTATGGTAGCAATCCGAGTGTTGAGGAATGGCCCCCTTGGGAAGTTTGATGAATTTACATGTTGCACAGAATCTAAAGAAGTGAGTTCTTGCAGTGAGACAAAGAGTTGAAACCTAAAATTTTCCTCCTGTATATCCTAAACTTTACTTGACCTTGAGAAGTAGGATTTCAGTAGTTACTTTGCCTTTGTCACAAATCATCAATCTTTGCTACAACCAAAAAAATGATGAAAACAAGTCCAAATTTTGTTCATGGTAAACAGTGAGACTTTGCTTCATTTGCATTGTGCAGCCATAAGTTCAATACTATGTTAGTTTTGTTCTCCAGCATCATTCTACCATTGTTTCTAGTACACAAACACACAGACTAAACTAAGGCATAGATGTAAATTATACACTTGAAATTTTGTACCAAAAATGCATCCCTATAAATACTAAATTATTATTTTTTTTGTAGTTTAACACCTAAGCTTTGTTTTAATCACTTTTCTTTAAAGATAGCTAATGGAAACCTCACCTGATAGTTCACAACCAAGAAGCTCCATCCTCAAAGTACAGTGTCTCCGACATACTTGGGGATACAGTCGGACATATTGAGATTTTATTGGAGGAGTGAAAGAGTTGGCATAGGGTGTATTGTTGTCCACATTTCCATGGAACACCTGTGAGAGATAAACCACAAAGATCAAAATGATGAATTACACATATTTCTCTTTCAGTTTCATAGTGAGACTTCGTAAGCTATGCTAAATGCTTGGATAGTCCCTTTATATAACTGGATAATTCATTAGGGGGCTTGAAGTATTTAGGAACTGTGGGTCTTCAAGTGTCTCCCCATACTCCAGGCTATTAGCAGTGAATAATAAATACATAGATGTAATCTTAATTAAAGGACTATATTATTGTTCCACAGGATATAATCTAAATTCTAATAAGAATCTTCCAATGTGTACTTATTCCAATTTCTGTTTGGGGCCAAGCCTTCAGTTCTTTCTCACTTTTCTCCACTTTGGGACACAGATTCATATATCATGCCAATTAACTGAAGCCTGTTTGTGCTTGGTGCTATCTGATGTGTTTACAATTCTACTAATGTCCTCCACCAATGCCTTGCAGTGCTGGGGAGGGATTGTGAAAGCTATATCAACGGATGCCAATTTTGATAGGTGCTATTAAGCTGAAAAGGTCAATGCATGGATTTGATGATTGACTGTCACCTAGGAACATTCTGTGTCAAGTTTGAAGAGGGACTTTACCAGGTTATTGGTGATACCAATTCATGAAGCCTGTCTATTAACCAAAAGAGACATGGTTACTGGAACCACAAAAAAGAAATTTCTTGCGTGATCTGGACTGTTCACATGCCTTGATTTCTGACTGAACATGGAATCTCTTCAGGTTTTGTTAGATCCATATAAAGTATAAGTTTTCACAGTGAGCTTTACCCAAGTGGACTGAGTACTTTTATTAAAAAAATCATAGATCTTTGAAATATGGAAGTATAAACATTTGTATGAGTCAATTTAGAATTATTCTTCCCTGGTATCTCATTTTTTTTATAATAAGGCTAAGTTTATAACTGGGGCATGGTTGGTGGGGGGGGGAGTATCTGAGTCAAGCAGTGGATCCGTCTATGCTGCCCAAGTTCACCTGATGATAAATAATTTCTCTCAGTTATGTAGATATACAATCAAAATCATGAAATAGTTCCTTTCCTTCTCCCATTACTATTCTGAAACTTGCTGTTTTGTTTTTCGTCCATTCTTAATATCTTATCCTCTTCATTCATTATTTTAACCAATTATTAGAAAGACTTTTCAATCCTACTTTATATGGTAAGGCATTTTGATTTGTTTTTATCATTATGTGAGTTTTTGATGAATCCAGGAACTTAAACAAATGATTAGTTGCATATATATTTTAAATCGGGACAGATGTCACAATACCAGTCCGTTGTCATATGAAAAAACTATAGTCATATTAGAGAAAGAATAGCTATAGAATGAATTGTCAGGAGGCGACCCCTGCTCAGTGAATTCCAGAAATTGGAAGACATATGAAAAGAAGCAGTTTAAAATGAAAAAAAAAACTTGTTAATCATGAAACGGGTATTCTAGAGGGCACAGTGGAAGAGTCAGGCAGATCTGGATTGGGAAATTGGTGAGAGGAGTGCTTTGAAATGGATGAAGATTTGAGTTTGGGGATGGGGTTTGTTCATTGATAGTCATGGGTTCAATATTACCAAGATGGGGACAGTGTAAAAGGTTTGGCACATGTTAGTAATGAATCCATACAGGCTTATCAAGGAATAGAAACAATTCCATTGAGAGAGAGCAGGTGGTTTAAACTGGTCAAAGTCCTCCTTCCAAGTCAAAAGATAGACTGGAAGGAAAGTCTAGCCAGGAGGAGTTTCCCTGTATTTGAGAAGCAGAAGTGAGCAGAATCATCAGTAGCTGCTAGAGTGCCTAGCAACTGACTGAAGGTTATCTTTGAGAACTAGGAAGATTGTTCTGAAATTTCTAAAATTATGATGTTCCATGATTGGCAGTCATATATAATCACAATGAAAATTCAAGTAAAAGCTGGGCATCTGTGCCAGAGAGCAGTTCAGAATCATTGAAAGTACTGCAGTTTCCCAAATGCAATGCATCATCAGTTGCATCCTATTAAATTCTGGGATCAGCTCATCAATCTGCGGTGCTCGTCCAAAATACATGTGTAGCAGGCATTTCTGAGTAGGGCTGTATATCACAGAATGACTAGGCTCATAGAGTAATCACTCACAGAAGAAGTTCTCAAGGTTCTATTATCCCTAAGACCAGGTGCCAATAGTGCAACTAGACATTGGGGCAAAGAAAAATGATAGGATTTATACACAGGTTTACTTGTGATCAGTCACCAAAATAGAAACATAAGAAGTGTCTGAGATGATGATGGCAGTGTTCAGGAAACTAGAGCTTCCTGAGTGTCCTTAATACCTCATGAGGCAAAGAGAAAAGACATGAACTATGACAGAGCCAAGGGGATTCACTGATAATCTTAGATAAGGTATAAAGACTAAAGATTTTAACACCACATTTCAGCTGCAGAAAGAAGGACTTTATATTTGCTTTCTTTTTGGAATAGTGAGTTTGGAGGGCCTCGTTCTTCAAATAGCTCCAAAAGATGGGATTATACTTGCTTGGGAATGTGATAGTTTTTTTCCCCTGGACTATAAGATTAATTTTGGTTTTACTATATCAATATTATTCTTTTTGGGCCTGTTAGCAACTGAATAGCTAGACTATGACGACTTTAAAAGTTCCCAGTTTTGAATTAGAGGGAATGAGCCACATGAGGTGAATAATCATTAAAAGCCCCCATGATAATGAACTTTAGATTGTAAGGACCCACATATACAGTCTTCTGTAGAAAATCATATCAAAAAGTGTGACTGTTCCTTTCTTATTTTTTCCTCAAGTAAATTACCAAAATGCATAGACAGAATTTAAAAATTTAGTCATTTAGGCTTGTAGTTATCTTTTTTTTCTGTCTTTTAATCATTATCTTTCTGTGACATTTTTAACAATTGATACTTGAATGCCTTTAAAACTGTATCAACCCTTTGCCCCAGCATGGATGTCTTTTGTTTTTATTTGCTTAGGCCCTTGTTGTTGCTCCCAATTTTATGTTCCTAAGTGTCGTTGACATCTCCTCATATAGTATATCAGGAATTTATTTCATAGAATTCAAATGTATTTGAATTCAAATTTATTTCATGGAATTCAAATACTATTGCCAATGAAAATAAGCTACCATAAAAATGCTGGATGTTTGGTTACATTTCACATCTCTTTGTTATCCTTTTTCTTGTTTTCTAAAGATGTTATTAAGAGGGGCAGCTAGGTGGTGCAATGGCTAGAGCACTGGCCCTGGAGTCTGGGTTCAATCCAGCCTCAGACACTTACTTAGTAGCTGTGTGACCCTGGGCAAGTCACTTAACCCCAATTGCCTCCAAAAAATGTTATTGAGGCAAACCTACCCAAAGAGATATTTAGCCAACTATAAATGGGGGCTGGCGGAGAAATACTTTTACATGTATAATTTGAATTCATTGCCATGTAAGTATGTACTTTCTAGTCCTCTTGTTTCTACATCTCTAAATGAGGCTATTCTAATCTGGGCTTCTTCTAACTCTAATTCCTATAAAGGCAATGAATCTCTTCCTGAGGAAAGTCTTTAGTGATTTCTATTTGAAGATTCTGAGTACTCCACTAATTTTTCCAACCTCTTTCACTTCATGATTCTTAGCCATGTTTTCCAAAGTGCTTTTTCCAAACTCTCATATTTGCCTTCACGTAGAAAACATCCAGTACCAAAATGTTGGTTCATTTGGTTATCTGAATTTTGAATTTTGTCAAGTTCTTCATAGGTTTTCTCTATTTCCTCATCTTCTATAATGTTATTGTAAAATCAGGAGTTAGCTTCATTACAATCTATTTACTTATGATCCACATGAGCATTGAAAAACAAGACGAACAAATATCCCATGAAATTGTTTCTCATTTTATTTTTGGTGAAAAAAGAATGTTGGTTGTCAACTTATTAATGATATCTCAAGTAGAATATGTAAGCTACCCCCCTATTAGCTGAACCTTCACCATGTCTTTTCATTTAATTTATGTAGCTATTGTTCAACTTCTCTAGTAGTGTTAATATGTCATTTGGTTACAAAGATCGGGTATTAAAAGTATCAAATATTTGTAATTAGCCTAAAAACTGATTCTCAGGACTCCAGAGTTCCTCTGCCTTTGACAGTACCTAAGTGGGTGATTCTAACCTAGCTATTTAACCTTTTTTCCTTTCATTATTTTAATCTGAAAAAGATTAATTATAGCTCATATTTTTATAGAAATTTATAACTCACAAGGTGTTTTACATGTATTATCTCATTTGATCCTCAAAAATGAGATGTAAATGGTACAAATATCATTATTCCCACTTGATATTTGGAAACCAAGGTTCAGAGAGGCTAAGCACCTTGCCTAAAACCACACAGCTCCTATCAAGTAACTGAATCAAGATTTTAACAAAGGTCCTCTGGTTCTAAATAAAGTAACATCCACCCCCCAAACAAACCCAAACAACAACTATGTTGACCCCTAATGAGGGGGTTGAAGTAGAAGAGAGAAGTTCTCTTCTAGTTTTGAAATTCTGTGATTCCATAACTCTGACTCAACCTAAGGAAAAGGTTTGTCCATTTTCTTATCCATAACTGTGATTTTTATTGTATTGAGACACATAACACACTTGAGATAGCAGGTGTCGAAATTAAAAAATCAAAATTAAGGCTCTGCAAATAAGAGTGAGGTGTTTGTATTATCAACCCCAAATGTGTCAGGTCCCTGCAATCAAAGGTATGTTTTTTTTTTCTCCCAGTAGAAATGTGTGGCTGTGAGAGTTGGACTATAAGAAAAACTGAGCACTGCAGAATCAGTGATTTCAAATTGTGCTGCTAGAGAAGACTTTTGAGAATCCTTTGGACAACAAGATCCTATCAGGCAATACTTAAATAAATTAATTCAGACTATTTACTGGAAGGTCAAATACTGAAGCTGAAGCTTAAATATTTTTGGCCACATAATGAGAAGACAGGACTCATTGGAAAAGACCCTGATGGTGG